GTGGTTCCAGTACTTTGAACAACCCTTCCACAAACATGATCCACGTCCTTGTAACTGGATTCTTTTGAACGAAAGTACACTTGGAACAATGACACCGGCAGCAATCACCAGTCTCTTGGGATTGTTGTTCACGTCCCCAAAACAGTAGCAATGCCAGGAGCCCCTAGTAGCATCCTTGCTCCTAGTAGCGATGCGCTTTGCTCCTAGTAGCTTCTTGTTCCTAGTAGTAAGGCCAGGAGCCCCTAGTAGCGTCCTTGCTCCTAGTAGCGATGACCTGATGAACAACTTGGGAAGTCCAGGGTAGTTTGATTTTGTTGGGGGGTTCAAGCAGCATACGCTGGATCGTGGCTTGGTTGTATACGCAGTAGGCAATGCTTTTCGTTGGTTCAATCGAAAGTACTAAGATTGGAAAGCTCCCAAACCAACCCAAATCACGTCTTCCTGTTCTGTTGTATTTGTTTCTAATAGCGATGGCCTCCAACCTAATAGCGATGGCCTCCAAACCAAAACATGATGACCTCTGCAACTTCCGTTCCTGAAGTGGGGTGGGCTGTCTTCGCGCCATAGAAAATATATTTATCAAAGCGTATCCGGTGCTTTTCAAGAAGGACACCGCAACCACACTTTGAGGCTCGCTTCAGGTTCACAATCGTGCTTTTGGGAGACCAGGATTCAGAGGAATGTGCCACTTTCGGGGCAGAGCAACACAGCAAAAAGGACCATGGAATCATATGATAACCTGAAAGCACTGATCATTCTTGAACACCCAAGATCGATCGGTCTTTGGTCGAAGCGGCTCCAAAGGCAAGGCAGTGCGGTGGCAAGGCGACATGCCCGGCACAGGAGGCCATAAGGTAAGTAGCCCCAAACCTGGCGTCGGAGGCCGCTGGTAGGAGCAGGAGCAAAGGGCAAGGCTACGAACGGAGCATGGACGCTGCTAGGGGCTCCTGGCCTTACAGATGTTTGGTCTTCTTTTTGTTTGGTAAAGCCACCCGGCGGACAACCGTCCGATACCGTCCGCTTTGAACGTGTTTCTGCTAGAATGTCCAAACGTTGAACACATGATCGAGCCTATACGTATATGTGGAACGCTGGGCAGGAGGATCATTCAACTTGATCCAATCAATTTACTATGTATTCACGTGCTTCGGTGGTATATAAGGAGGCCATCACTCGGCAGAGTCACTTCTGATTTCAAGCATTGAAGACATACCTGTAGAGGCCGCGTTGCTTCATGCAGCTTCCATCAGCCAAGGGTTGATTAAAAACCACTTCGGGGCATAGATGAGGAGCATCGACCTGTGTCATCGAATTTGGGTCTAACGATCTATGCCCCACTCTATAAGGGATGTTATGATTTAATTACAGGATGTAACCTTGTCCCGAAGCATTTTTGTTGAAGGTTTCCCTATTGTTTCCATCAAGCTCCCTCAGTGCTTCTTTGCGTGGACTTACTGGCTCCCCATTCCCCATCCATCCTTCTTCACTCTCCTCACGTCCGGAACATAGTCCGTGACCGACCGCGCTGGCCGTGCCGCGCCCCACACGGTGTCACCTCCTCAGAGGAGCCCAGGTGTCGCAGCACTTGGAGGTGAAGACTATCGGGCCACTCAGCTGCCATGGCGCCACAGTTCTGCCGACGTCTGGGAGTGACTCGGCTTGGCTGTTCTGGTCACTCGGTGGCGGTGTTCACCTACACTCGGGAGGGCAGTTTCCGGTGATTTGAATGGAGTACGTCAGTGGAGACAATGCCAAGATAGACCCAGCAGTTTCAGTCCTCCTTGAGATATCCGTGGAACGATCTGAATTGGAAAGCGGTGGAACGATCGAAGGACAGTGGCGGCCAGTGATCATATCAAGTTTCTCCATGGTACTGGTAATGTCCCTGGAACTACATCCTTCTGCTTGAAGTGATAAATTGCCGAAGCTGAACACCGCGACTCCGCCTTGGAGGCACCGAGCCACAAAAAGCAAACCATATCAACGACTCGACCGTCGGCTGCCAGCCGGCCGGACCGTCCACTCTATAAAGAAACCGCAATGCCCCGGCTGGGTGAGCATCTTAGATGATTTCATCATCTAAAGACACCGACTTTCAGGGTAAATGCACAGAAAGCATCCCATCTGTGACTGGACTCCACATATTGAAACTCTCTGTCTTTCCAGCTGGGCCCCTGCTTGTCACTTGTTGTAAGTTAAAAGTATTAGTCATCATTGATACGGGCGTGTATTCAAAAAGGGAGACCTCCCAGAGACACCCTGGAAGAATGAGAGAACTAGACCAACACCCAGATGGGGTCTCCATATTTTTTCAATACACATCCCATACTGAGGAAAAGACGTTGAGTCTGCTTGGTCCGCCAACGTGGATGACTTGGCCACTGCGACTTGGCTGCTTCTGCTTTCAAGATGAACTGCGGGACCTCGACGACGGAGTTGAGCCATTTTCGGTGCGGACTTGAGCTAAAGTCTCTTCTAGTGATTCGGTAGCAAATAGTGTCAGTGCTTCTATGTGATTCTTGTATGTTTCGTTGAACCTAGGGGAGGAAGCAAGTCACTTCGGTAGTCAATGCTCGTAGTAGTTGAAAGTACTGTAACAAAAGCACGGCCTGACCTGGCTGAATAGCACGCAGAGCACACTCGTGACAAACAAACCGCAAAAACTGTGCACCTGTCATTGAAAGTATCGGTGCAAATGCCTTTCACGACCTCTTGGGGTAAAGACGACAGCAGAAAGGCACTTCAAGAACATTTTACATATATAGACTTCCTCAATTCACAATCATATCAGGGTTCTGAGTAGTCTTGTTCTGGGTGATACACTTATATCTGGAGAAATGCATACATGTGTGTACACTCCAACACGCCATGGTCTGCATAAGGCACTACAGTTCTTTAGAAGGCTTTGGAGCTATTATAGAGATTTGAGGCAAAAAGAGTGCTAACCTGTATATGCCCTTCGACCCTTCTCCAAGCTTTTTGTTGCCTTTGCAAGCCTTGCACGTGGAAGTCATCTCCAAACAAAGCATTGGGTGGCGACTCCTCTCTACACTATCCCGTTCCTGGGTGTGGGTTCAACTTTTCTTCTTCTTCGAAGTCTTAGTTCCTTTCTGCTTCTTCCTGTGCGGAATAGTTATTTGCTTGTTCAGCTTTTCATCCGAAATGCGCTGGTTGCGATTGACGGCGCTCACAAGTCTTGAATACTTTGCAGCTTTTAAGGGGTGCCACCGCTTCCCCTTTCTTTTTGTCCACGTCCAGGGTTGCTGAAAAGCTCCTGCCCGAAGAAGTCTTTCCGCCACTCGGAAATGACCCCGACGTACGGCCCCAAGCAGAGGAGAAACACCTTCACAGTCCACTTCATCCACAATAGCTCCGAGCCCAATGAGTCGCCTTACCAACTCCTTGTTGCCTGAGCTTCACAGCAGAGACAAACAAGCAACACCAAGGTGCTAGCAACAAAGTCAAGATGAGCGGAAGTAACCAAACAAAAGAACCAGCAACCAGCACAACCTGGAACACAGTTTGGGGCCCAAAATGATCCAATATTAGTTTCCTTTCAAAAACCTATCCTAGGAAAGAAAACCACAACGAACCAAAGAATAGAAAACAAGCACCACTCAAACACCCAGAAACCTGTTGCTGCAGCACGCCACAAGGGGCTTCGGCCCCACTCATCGTTCATCCAGAAACTTCGCGTTCGAAAGTAAGAGCTCCATTCAGTTTCTGAATACCACATACCATCCTCACCGTAAGCGCCATCCTCGGACAATGCCTCGGATGATTCTGACGACGCCTCGGAGGCATTGTCGTCCCAGTCTAAGGCTGATGCATGATGAGTGACGCACAAATGCGTCTGAACGCCTTTCAGGTTGGGAAACTCCCGTCCACACGCCGCTGCTGGCGGCATGGAGGCCAAAACTCCACCGTCAAGCCGTCGGTGGTGGTGGTCAAACCGTTCAGAAAGGGCTGATCAACTATGCCCACCTCCACCTCAACTCGACGGATGGCAGCAGCTTTCAAGCACCAAAGCCTTCGATTGTTTCTGGAGTACCACTTTCCAGAATGAAAGACAATACTGATCCTGGGCAGGTCTGATGCTACTAATCTACCACTCCGCAACTGCTGAGCAACCTCTGACAGCGCCCGTCCACATGTAAAGAGGCGCTGCAGCTTGTTGTGCGTCCAACGGAGCTCAGATGGATCTACCCAAATCAAGCTGCCACTTTCTGGCTGAATCAAACTCTTTAAGCAAACCACTGAATCACTGGCTCTATCTGTACCCAAGGGCGGAACTGTTTCAAGACCTCTTGCCTGTAGTGGAACAGTTTGAGCATCAGTGAACTCTTTGGTCAATGCAACTGGTATTTCAGCCGGTGGTTGAGGTCGTGCCTTGGCTGGTACTGCCATTGACTGCTGTGGAGGGGAAGAAGTCGGAGTGGCCAGCTGGACAAGCAGCGTCTGATCATCAACCGAGAAGCTGTGCTTTTGCAGGAAACCCCTCAGCTTGCCTAGGCCACGTCCAAGCTTCTTCCAGATTGGCAGCATTCCCAGTTTCTGCATTTCGCATGGCTGGCATGACTTCAAATATCTCCTGAACTCTGCGACAATCAGTTCTGTTGGTGTCTGCGGATGTTGAGGACCCTTGGAAGGGAGACCGTCTGCCAGCGCCAGGACCATTTCACAAGGAGAACCTGGCAAAAGCGGCTCGGAAGTGACACGCCCGCCAGCTCAAACAGCAAGGCAGGGCTTCAGTTCATACTTCTGTGTCATAGGCTTGAGCAACATTGCTTCATGCATGGAATTGGTCTTTGTGACCATCAAGGAAGGGACAACACACTTTGTATGTATTCTGAGTGTGTCTCTTGCAACAGAAAAGCATCAAAGGCGCTGACACCCACAATTGAGGCAATCAGGTATCCACAAATACCCAAACCCTTCGCGTGTTGGGTGGAACGGAGCTGCACGGCTGGCTGCGGAATTGGGGCAGGCGGCTTCTTTTTCGACGGTGACACTGAGGCAGGCTGCGCTGAGCCGGCTGCTGAAAGGCCTCGGAGGGTGACAGTTGGGCCAAACTCCAAAATGGAATCATGAAAACTCAGCCAAGCAGCTGCCTTCCTTGGAGGATTTTGTAATTATGCTAGAAGCAATGGCCTCCAACCTAGAAGCAATGACCTCCAACCTTGAAGCAATGGCCTCCGACCTAAAAGCAATGGCCTCCAACCTAGAAGCAATGGCCTCCAACCTTGAAGCAATGGCCTGCTTAGCCAGCGCTTCTAGGTTGGAGGCCATCGCTAAACACAATTTCTTGGCGCTTTTTGAGATACCTTCGGTCACACCTCTAGGAGCTCGACATCCTAGGACTCAATCCTTGATTGGTCGATCACCATGTGGACTGCATCACATGCTTCAGTGATATCATTAGTGTTTGGTTCTACACTGGCTCCGGGCTTACTAGCGCTACGAGTACTATGTGAAGACTACTTCTCCTCATTTCTCCTCTAGCTCTACTACTTCTCCTTGACCACATCCGCATCGACCAATTCTTCAAGTTGCGGGAACATCCCACCTCCGTGCTTGCTCTCCAAGCAACTCAAATCCGCGCTTTCAAGCGAGCGGGCTGCTTGCGCGCAGCCCAGGAGTCAATCACACCTGGCTGATCGGACTGGTGGAAGAGGCCTTGATAAGCCTTGCTTTCCGGTTGGAGGCCATCGCACGTAGCGATGGAAATTCGACCTTTAGAGTCAACGGTGGTATTTGGATGATCGCTGTTCGACGGGGGTTGATATCGCTGCGGTCTTCCCCACAAATATCTACGAGCGGATACTGGTTGTTTCGTTCTTGGGCCTACCTCTGGGGATCCAATGACCTTCATCGGTGATTGGCAAGGTTTACGTCGCGTTCTTCATGGGGTAACAGGTTGATGCTTTGAACTCACACGGATGAGCAACTGCCAAGTTCCGGTCAACTGCTTGGGCGCTTCATCACCAATTCTTGAAAGGAGCAGAAATAATAATTGGATATAATTGGTGGTTATTCCAACGTGATGGATTGATGTCCACGGTGGGAAATCCCTCCATGAAACCACAGCTTGTTGCTGGGTCAAAGGGATGAAGAACATCTGTCTTTTCAGGGAAAGAGCTCTTGCATAACATTGAAACATGAGGTGACCCACGTAATAGGAATGGCCTCCAACCGTATAGCGATGGCCTCCAACCTATGATTTCTCATTTCTGTAGCAAAAGGACATCCAAATGGCCCATTTCCATGCTTGTTGGTTGCTATCCCAGTCTCACATGCTCCACACATTTGGCCGCTGCCTGAAGCCAATCCACAAGAGTCGTCCCGTCCGACCTGCTTGTGATTCCTTTGGCAGGTGCTTCACCAGCTGCAACGGCGGGACGATGGTGCCAACCTCCGACCGCCGAAGGAATCACATGGACTTGCCAGTTCATCAGCGGTTTCCGGAAAACACGTGATGTGTAGAAGAAATCGCTTCGCAAGAATCCCTTCATTCAACTGATCGTGCATGAGTTTGACCAACATGGGAATTCCGTCAGCCAGGAGTTGCATCTGGCCCAGCTGGTCATGCTTAGACGAAAAAGCATCGGAAGCCTCTTGAAGAGATATAGACTGCCATTTAAGGGGAGATAGAGAAGTCTCTTGAGCTTTGGCGGCTTCAGCCCCTTCCCTTCGGTTGCTCCCTCGCCTTGCTGAAGAACTTGGGCTTGATGCGCTGGAGATGTGCTGGCAACGCCTGGGGGCCGAAGAGACGATGCAGAGCCGATGGTCCCTGTCACACGGCTGAAGGAAAAAAACACTCATTGCTATTAGCTTTGTTACTAGTAGCGTGGCACTTGTTACTAGTAGCTTCCAACAGTGGTTGGGAGCAAAAATCAAGGCTTCAGACTAGGATTTTTCTCGCGTGAAGCTGAAGCCCAAGGATCTATGGCCGAAGGATTTGTTGCTGCGAGCCAGGTGAAGAAAACCAACGGCTATTGTAGAACACGTGAAGATAAGACCTTGTATTCTTGCATCATTCTGTAAATTGATTCTTTTCGTTGTGCCTGCTGTTTGTGGTTTTGGTTCATCCTGATACAAATCCACATTTGTGGTGGTCAAAACATTAACATGCTACGTAGTCATTCTGCTGCCATGGTATCCCTCTTCATGGTTCCCTATCGCTCCACACAGTCCCAATCAAAAGACGAAGAACCCTGCAATCTCTCTGAACCCTGAGGATTCTTTGTGGTTCCTCATTGAAGCTCCGACAAGTAAGCCATTGTTTCAACAAATTGCAAAGGTCCCCCACGTATCCGGCAACAAACTCAGACCTGACCTATGCCAATATCACAATTCTGATTTAACAAGGGCTTGGCAACTCCAGTTGCAGGTTGCACACCTCTCTGACGTGGGAAAATATTGACGTAAAACCGCCCGGCCTTTTGTGAATTTCGTCCTAGAAAAAGAAGCACCAGATTCGAGCAAAATGGTTACATGCTCCAAGCAGCATTCCATTCAGGGCCGGATGGCATCCTCAGCTCCTTGAGGGGCCAAGCTGGACAGGATCGGGATTCCAAGGATGGCATTGGATGGCTGGACAGATGGGATGGGCCGGATGCTTGGAAGTGAACTGTAGAGAATTGACATCCAAGGCCAGGACGTCCACTTCCATTTCAGGGGATGGAGGTCTCTTGTGCTCATCATCCGTGCTCTGAAAGAGCTTGGTGAATTTCCTCGCAAGTTCACCTCATGGAGAACTTCGCTTTCCGGTCTTTGTTCTCGGAATTGGCCATGTCAAAAGAAAGGGTGGTGTTAGGTGTTCGAGAACTATTTCGTCCTGTTGCGAGACCGAGTTCCACTGTGGTCCACATGGCGATCTGCAATACCAGTCTTCCTTCAAACGAAGGCCCCTGTTCTTTGGGGTCTCTCACCGACCGGCGGCCCCGGCGCCCTCCGCCCGCAGCCCCTCTCCTGGTTGTACTGAGCAGGAGTGAGGCCATACGGCACCTTTCGGACTGGACGCCGCGTGCGCGAAGGGTCCACGGACGGCCCAAACCGAACCGGTTTCCCATGGCTCGTTCAACGGAGTTGGACGTGAACATCACCAAGCAAAGCAGTGTTCCTCCGAACAAGGCCTACACACACAGGTACCAGCTGAACATGGATGAAGAACTAATGGAGAAGAAGTCTTGAGGTCTGTGTTGCCTTGGCGACTTTTTGCTGGTTGAAGATCCCCCAAAAGTATGTAGTCAAGTGCCACAACATGTCACAACTGTTCAGCTCCTTTAAATGTTCGGATGTTGTATGTGTTGCAAGTTTCACACAAAGCTACATGCCACCTCATAGTCTTCAAATGTACTGATTCACCAACATTGGGAAGCAAAAGTCCCATGCCAAGGGGTTCCGCCATGATATCGGTCAAATCAAACGATCAATGTTGGCTCTCCATATTCATAGGGCTTAATGAATTCATATTGAGATTCAGATGGACATATGAGATGAACCGTTCGAACCTACTAGCAATGGCCTCCAACCTAAGAGCGATGGCCTCCAACCTAGTAGTACCCCAGAAAGCTGTACACTGTACAAGCCTAATCCACGTGTTGAAATCTGGGCCTTTCACACGGCTGGTACTGAAAAATACCCGGCGATCCTCTTGTCCAACCGTCATGCGGAAAGGTCATGTGCTGCTCTGCCTGGTCGACGAAGTATTTGGATGCCTCTGCCCTGCCTTCGTAGATGCCTTGCTGTCTGGTTGATCCACAAAAACTGAGTGGATCAAAAGGGAGATCAAAGGGTAGGTAGCAGGCCATCCTCCCCTCTGTGGAGGGTGCTCACACACGGTTGTCAAAAGTATGACATCTACTTGATCATCAATTTCCTGCATGTCAAACACAATTTACTTTAATGCCCAATTCCAACCATCCTTTCCTTTGGTCGGGAGTTGGAAACAGCAGTCCATATGTGCTCCAACTGCTCAGGTCGGATAGAGAGGCGAGGACGTCATTGCTCGATACCCGAAGGACGTCATTCTTGAGGCAACCCACGGCATTGTGGTGGACTCCGCCTACAGTCCGCCGCTTACACTCACCATCCGACCATCCACATGAGTTCAACAGAACAAGTCTTCAGTTCTTTCCTTCTTGGCATCCAAAATACTCACGTGGCTAGGCTTTGGCTTCCTGGCAGGGCTTCAGTTTTTGATTGTCTCCAACATACGTTATGTCGAGCCGAGCATATGGCCATGGGACAGAGTGAGAGTCTAGAGTTATTAGGTTGGAGGCCATCGCTAGTAGGGTTGAGGCCATCGCTATTAGGTTGGAGGCCACCGCAGTGTTGCTGGAACTCCAGGGTCCAGCCATGATTGTCTAGAGCTCATGCATCGCCAACAGGAGACAATATGAAACAAATGAGATTCCATGGTGCCTGAAAGAATGGTGAAATTCTTGGAGTGTGCAGTGGAGGCCCACTTAGGTGCTTGAAGTTGGGGTGGAGGTCCTGGTGCTTTCGCTGCTGTCGCTGGTATAGAGTTTCATAAGGCCGTGAGGCTTGCAGGATTTGCTACTCAAGTGTGCTTCGAGCGCGATTCAAACCTCGTGCCTCTAGACTTTCTATATTCGTTCCTGTCTTCATCTGTCTTCCTTTCATAGTAAACGGCTGGAAACCGAGTGGTTGTGGGGTCCAGATTTTGGATTGAAGACTTGCTGTTCTGACATATATTGCCAAACATGAGTTTCTTGTCAAACTTCTTCTGTGAACGTCCATTTCACTTCTTTGAGACACACCTTGAGCCCTGAATGAATCCTCTGGTGCTTTGTTCCAAGTGAACAGTCCATCCGATGGTGAAATTGCGTTGAAAAACAATGATCATCGTGACCGGGTGCCCAACCTGGGTGACTGGTCACGCGAAACAGGGTTCCTCCGAAGCCAATTCTGCTCTGTCCTTGGTTCCTCGGCTTTCGCTTTGGCCTTAGCTTTGGGCCTGGCAGAATTGCTGAGCCAAAAAATGAAGGTCCGAGAATTCAGTGAAATACACACCAAAATGAAGTGAGAAGTGAACACAAAAAAAACAGAAAACACCTACCTGATCATGGTCTGCTTGCTGTTTCTTGACTTGTTTCGGCTAAGATATGCAATAAATGTGTTACGTGCTTTTGAGTGGTCACAGTATGCCCACCCACAATATGATTGGTATTGTGATCATGAACATAAGTTGGTCCCGCATTAAGGCTAAGAATCTGGTACCTGTGTTTTCCCTTGCAGAATTGGCATGCCCATCCTCAATCAACCACAAACAGCGGCTATAAATACTTGGTGGCCTTGGAATTCAGTCTTCCCTGCATCTCCGCCAGAAACATCTAGAAACTGGAAACTAGACATGAGTATCCTTTTTCATATCCGAACGCCAGAACTTCTTCTGGTGTCCTTCATATTGAATGTTTTGAATGAAAAGAAACCAACACGAACACACAAGTCTTAGACACGTAAGATGTTTTTCACAATAATACTCATATAAGCAAACTTTAACGCAACAGCATGTCTAAACAATAATTTTATAACAATAGCATCCAAGCTCTCTGCCGCCAAACTCCTCACCTCCGCTGAGGTGCACCTTCGCCCGCCCAGCTCCTGAGTGCCGCAATTTGTTCCAAGCCCATGCGTTGGATTCAACATGATTCCATGCCTCCAGCAGGAAATCGGTGAATTCCGGTTGGAGGAAGTTATCTGTGTTTTCTATTTTTTTTTTGTTTGCCATGAAAAACAGGTGACTTTTTCTGCGATGAACTTGATGTTTTTCTTTCTCTCACAGGGACACACACACACACATCAACAGTGCTGAGGTTTCTTGGACTGCCGCAGTGCTGAAGTGCATACGACAAGCTCAATCTAATTGAATAAACATTGCCGTAGAGTGACACCTACTATTCCTTTGAACGGGATATTATAAAGCCTCTCCAAACAGTAAACATGAAATACCGGCGGAATACACCTGGGCCGTGCAGGTGGACCGTTTTGTGATGTGCGCAGCTTCCGTTTCCCACGGCTTTGAGAGCGGTTGCTCCGTTGGAGATGCTGCGGTTGGTCATGCGGGAGGTCCACAAGGTTCGCTACGCACGGAACAAAGGGCATCGCTACGAACGGAGCGATCGGACGCTACGAACGTAGCTCCTGGCCGTACTACTAGTAACAAGAAGCTACTAGTAACATTATGACATGGACATGTCCGTCGTCACCCATCCCCTCTGCACAATCACGAAGAGCAAAGCGTTTCGGAAGCGTTCATCCGTTGGCCAAGGGGGGCACTAATTACTTTGCATTACAAACCTATTGGAGGCCATGGCTAGTAGGTTGGAGGCCATCGCTCTGCGTTACAAACCTAGTTGAACCTTTCCTTTGGCCATCTTTGGCCGGTACCAGCTGACCCTTGGTACAGCCTGTTCACTCGCGGAAGATATGGATTGATGGCGGCTCCGCAAAGGATGGATCTGCCAGTCCCCCTAATCCCCTATCCTCGAAGGGTATAGAACACCTGATAGATCTGATTGTGTTCCATTGGTACATTTAGACCTGCTAAAGGTCTAAAGGAGGAAAGAATGCACTATTCTTAGTGGCCCAAGATTATACTTCTGAGAATCCAAGCAGCTTCGTGTTATTCAATAGAAAACGTGGACAACAAGAATTTGCCGAGTTGATCACGTGACTTGCATCAAACTAGGGCACCGGACCCCCAACCAGGGAGCTCTCCGTTGTGTTTTTCCTTTTTTTGCTCCTCACGCGTAGGGCTGCCCTTGACTCGGATGAATCGGTTTGGCACACGTACCCCACGTACCCCATACCCCATACAACATGGTCAGGTTTGCTTTCAACAAACTGCAACATCAATATCGCTGAGATCGCTGAGTATGAAGACACCATTTTCTCTAACTATTCACCATGTAATCGATTAGGGCCAATTGAGACAGTGAAGTTCATGGAACAAAGGGCATCGCTACGAACGGAGCGATCGGACGCTACTAGGGGCTCCTGGCATTACTACTAGGAGCAAGAGGACGCTACTAGGAGCAAAGGGCATCGCTACTAGGAGCAAGGACGCTACTAGGGGCTCCTGGCATCGATACTAGGAACAAGAAGCTACTAGGAGCAAAGGGCATTACTAACAAGAAGTTCATGCAGTTCACGCCGCTGAGTTCTCTTCACGAGCGGAGGCCTAGGGCCCATTCCTGGCTCTCTTTGGACCAACTGGATGAAGCAACTCAAAAGCTTACTGGTACTCTTACTGGTCCTTCTCCTGCTCAGCCTTTTCCAGCTCATCCTGACATGTCGAAGCAAGATCAAATGGAAGAGGCACATCAAGATCGACTAAGGCAATCTAACTTGGATTTTCACTCTGGTGGGAAGACCGGAGACCCATTTCTCTCTGCTTGGGCACTGTCTTGGGTCTTCCAGTATCATCTGAGATGCGCTTTTTCTACTCACACACACATCATTTACATACATTGATGATAGCACATAGATGCACCTCAGAAACCCCTGGGAGGCCATCTCAAGACGAAGTTCAGATCCGTCGTTGGAGTCGTCCCCGTGCCTCGAAGTCCTGAGTCTGGCTCCCTTCCACAAAGGCCTGAGTGCTTCCGAGCCGGGAGCCACCAGCCGCCACCGCATTCGGTACACGGGTTCGATGTTCGTCTTGTGTAGCGCCGAAGAACGGCAAATGAAGAACACCCCGTCCAGCCTTCGGGTGATCTGTCCCGGGACGCAGACTTCACTCTCTGAAACAGAGTTGACATCCAAAAGCGCCACCTCACAGGACCTGTTTGGTGGTCAAAGCATCCAAATCGACCTATGGGTTCTGACCTGGCCTGGCCCGAATATGACTTGCCTCACGCACCGTTCCAAAAGGGTTTATTATTGAATTGACATCTGAAGACATGAATGTGAGGAACATTGTGAACATCCCAACATATCCCAACAAACCTGTTGATGAACTTGTTTGAACAACCAAGCCAAGGTGTTCCCCCATTGTCCCCGAGAAAGTCATGTGAGAGTGTGCGCACACCATACAAGCCATACACTACATATGTAAATGTATACGCATGTTTCTTTTGCCAAACGTGAGGGCCCTCTGACTTAGTCCTTCCCAGTTGTTGGGTCTGTCAAAAGGCTTGCAACTGAGGAGTCATGGTGGTTGATGGTTTACCCTCCAACTGACATGGACCCATATGGCGGGTCAAAACAGAGAGGAACCTGATTGACCGAGAATGAAGAGAATCGATTAGCTAACATGGTCAACTAGGAGCGATCGGACGCTACGAACGGAGCAAAGGGCGGGCATCGCTACGAACGGAGCGATTGGACGCTAACCTACCAGGGTTTGTTTCGCTTGTTTCGACCCACTGCCGGTGTTTAGAACCGACCAGTCCATCGGACCAAGTGACCAGTCCATCGGGGTTTCTCGTTGATTTGTCACTTGCAGACCCAAGAGAAGTAACGGATTTCAAGATGAGAACAAAGTGATTTGGGTATCTCATCTTGAAATCCGTCACTGTCACTTCCATCTTCAGCTTCCGAATGTTCCACCTGCAGACGGTCCCCTCACTGCCCAGGAGCCGTCCGTACCAGCTCTCGCTGCTCACGAGCCTGGCGTGTGGACGCGAACGGGGAAAGGCCCTGGTCTACGGTGAGATAACTTGATGAACACGAACATGATAGCAATGGTCTCCAACCGAATAGCGATGGCCTCGAACCGAATTGCTATTGATATCAAAAGAACGATCTCACCAATATTTTCCAAATAGATATGCTTTTGATGTCCATTTCACGCTTCACTAAGGGTTGCTGGCAAAGGCTTCCCTCACTCCTACACAGTGGAGAGCTAGTACAAACACAGGGAGCTTTGCGACGAAGAATGCATTTTTAGGAATTTCTATTGGCAGATATTCGGGATCTACCAGGGTCTCTGTACACTTGGGAAACGGAAACTAGTTGACTAGTCAACAAGTTGGGCCCACGTTGACCAAGGTCTCGCTAGGCGTATGTATCATGTGTTGACATTGTATAGTATTATGGCGTTGACGTTAACTGTGTATTAGGTATGACTGGTGATGGTCGTTCTGGCACCTTATTAGTGAAGGTACGTCAGTGGAAATTGGCCAGTGGAGGTGGAAAAAGGATATCCGTGAGCTGGCACAGCGTAACGAGAACAATATCCTGGAAGAGTTCTACCAGTCCCTTCAGCAATCTGCCATGATATTTGTGCTTGAGCATCCTGCCTCTGCAGTGTCCATATTGAGTGCAGCCAAGATGTCGGCCTGATCCTGCGACGGAAGTTCGCAACCCAACGGTATTCACGTGGGTAACTTTCACTGCCACGCATCAATGCGGCCCTTCAACGCATTCGACATTCAGGTAGCACATTCGGCAACGAGGTCGAATTTGAGCAACGTAAAGCAATGACAACCCGCACACATATCCAAGTCTCTGCAAGTTAAATCGCATTAACTCGCACAACCCAGATGAACAACACACCGAAACAAAAAACTGTTTAGTGGATGTATGTCTCCGTACGTGTGACCGCAAATCGGACCTCGGGTTTTGATTCTGAATATGGAACATGCTACTACCTCGGGTTTTGAATCCGCCTTCTCAACCTTCCCCAAGTACTGTCCGCCCATCCAGGTCAAACTCATCAAACATCAAACGACAGGCAGCTTGCGCACGCGCGTCAGGCAGGTGCACGTTGGGTCCGTGTAATCGCACGTCGCCACTGCGTGTCCTCCACGATTTCCGCAGTTGGATCTTCGGCCATCTTGGTTTTCTTTTTCTTTTTCCTGCACAACTCATGCTCAATTTGCCCAGCTCATGCTCTAGAAAGGCCTTTTCCCAAAACGGCTCAAAAACCAAAAACCATGGGCTCCAGCCGGCCCCTGATCAAAAACACCCCAAACCATGGGTTCCCTGATCAAAACGCAAATTCCTGATTAAACACTTCCAACTTGGAGCTCATATTCCGATCCATCCACTGATTTGCTCGCGAACAAATCAGCTCGTATACCACCTCGACATCCTTCGCTTGGGTGCTCTGCAGGAACTTACATGAAGTGAGTCCTCGTTTCGGTAGTCACACCAAGTGCTGACCACATACATCTTTGTCCGTACTACTTAGTTTTGGTCGTTTGGATGTGTGGATGTTGACTACTTTTTGAGAAACCACCTAGAAAAGAACAAACCTTGACCAAAACGATGGTTTTATCAGAGATTGTCATGGTCACTACAACCTGTACAACCCCCTGAGAGACAATAGGTTTTGGGTACCTTGTCCAAATTGAATCATGGTGAAGGCCTGGATTAGCCCATTAACGCATGACGCCGAGTGTTTCAAACCAATTTCCAATTTGACCATTTTTTGACAACACTTGCCACTCAACCCAGACTTGCGATCCTTTGGTTCTTGGTTCAGTAAGAAGATCTGCTAAGTTCGCACCCACAATCCCAACGACATCAAGAGATCCTGAAACAACCGCAGGAGACATCCGGAAAGCGGATCAGATTTGGAGCTGAACATTCGTAGAATGTAACCGATTCGCGAGTGGTTTTGCGGTGCACTGCCAGGACTGGCAGAACAGGATCAAAACTGCATGGTACATCATGGTACTATTGCCTGCGCTTTGGGTTCATGAGTCGCACCACTGGAGGCACGGTCGACTTATGCATGGTCGGTTCATGTCGGTTCAAATCCAGAAAGAAGAGGAAAATAGCAACATGTAGAAACATGTCGACCAGGCTTCACTTTGAGTCGCCCAAGCCCTACAACTCCGCGTGAATGAATGTCGGCTAAGAAAGTTCTTGGACAAATGACGGCTTGAGGATGGAGTTTAGCAAACGTGATCTTTGGAACGTTGCTTTGCAACTGGACCTGGACAACTCCGTTCAATCACTCGAACATTCTTTGCTTACAACACAAATGGAACCTCTAATTCTTGCCCGGCCCTTGAACTTTGGCCACGCAACTTTAGAATACCGTCGCCCGCTGCGCCTTTTGGCTTTTGTGGGCGCCTCAATTAGCGAAACAAATTCGTGGCCGCTAGTCCGTTCAAGAGGAGGGGGCATTGGAGAGACAGCAGCTTCCCTGGCAAGCCGCCGACAGTGAAACGCGGTGTTGTCAGCCATTGACCGGTGAGAGGCGCTGGCAACAGCCTAGTTAAACGCAACTAACACACGCTGATCTGAATTTCGGTTCCGCACATGTCACGAGTTGTGGCTCTGAGCTGCGGAGTTTGCCTCTTCTTCTTCGGCGCGAATACGTTCTTCTTTCCTAGCCGCCTAATCCACAAACCTCATTGTCTGAATCTATCTGCATTCCAGTCCTGTCACCAAAGTCCATTTTGTGAAAGGTGTAAACATTCGCCGGTGGCCGGCGGTTCACCATATCGTCCAAGCACAGTGTGTCCAAGAGTCAACGGCCCCCTTCTTAACTACATAGCAGTTTCTATACATCTCCAGGACTCGATTTGATCTCCGGCATTGCAGGTTTTCCCTCGACTACAGCCATCAAACCTTTGCAGGATACCGGAGGCTACTCAAGTAAAAGGGAAGCACAAGCCTCCAACCTGCCTCAAAACCCCTGCCCAAGTAAGAGGGAATGGAGGTGGGCAACAACAGCGAGACCAACAGAAGAATACACATGCACCTGATAGGCTAGGCTAGGCATTGAAGTAGGTGTGTGCTTGACGCTGGGAACCTCAAGGTGCAGCGCTGAGGCCGACTTGATGAGGGGCCAATGCCGGAAGAATGACCGTCTCAAACCAGGGGAAACAGACCCCACACAGCCTGACATAAAGAAAAGTGGATTCGATCTCTCTTTCTGGTGTTTGCTGAAGGCACCTCAAACTACCTACAAACAGAGGCGCGTGTTGTCCTCTCAAAAGCCATCAGCTTGCTTCGTGGGGCAGCGGTGCTCACAACCAAAAAGCTTCCAGGGGCTGGAGAACACGTGGCTACACTTTTGGGTTGGCTGGGGCGCTTGCCCTCGAATACCTGTTACCATCTGACCCTGACCCTCGCGGAACCCGTGCGAGGTATGCGGAACCCGTGTGCGTCCAGTAGTGCGTCCAAGCTCGCCCTTTAAGTTAACCTTCAAAACCATGGCAAAGGGTGTGGCAGCTAGTGCGCCCGACTTGGCAACTTCAAGAACACCCAAATCCATAGGGTTTCTTCGACAAATATCGAACCTGGATCTTGTCAACCGTTCGTCGAAGAATCACGTTACTCGAGACCACGGGACCCTCCGGTGTTCAGACATGCTGCAAATGAAGGAGGACCCGGAAACAAGTGCGATTGAATGCGAGTTACTTTTATACATTGATTCTATTGAAAGGGGCATAATGGGGCCTACATCATCTCCATCATCTCAGTCATCTTTCTTTGTGCATCCAGGGTAATCATATCTTTTGAACGATCATCATATCTGTTTCTGGCAGCTGAGAGCTGCCTTGGGAAAGTCACAACACATCCACTACTATATAGGATAAAGACAGGACTAGAAGGAGGGTATCCATGGGTATGCTGCATGACACTTCTTTCGACACCTCTTCCCTCCAGAAACGCTTCGACCTCGGTAGCGCTCCGTTCGTCACCGAGTCGTCGTTCTGTCGCCGCGACGCCGTCGACGCGGGCAACGCTGTCGACAGAAAGGCCTAAAGCCCAAGGCTGGCAGCCCAACTTCCATGCGTCCTTGTTCCTAGTAGCGATGCCAGGAGCCCCTAGTGGCCCTAGTAGCCAACACCGAAATCGCGGGCATCGAACTACTGGTTCGACCTCCCCAGCTAGTAGTAACAAGAAGCTAGTAGTAACAAGTGCATCGCTAGTAGTAACAAGTGCCTTACTAGTAGTAACAAGAAGCTATTAGAATTAAATTAGTAGCTTCTTGTTACTACTAGTAAGGCACTTGTTACTACTAGCTTCTTGTTACTCCAGCTCAGCATGTGTTCGGTCCATCTGAGCCCTTGGCCGAGCCCTGGAGTGCGTCCGAGCCCTCGTTGGGCGCCATCTGCGGTGGGGAGCGCAACGCGGTGGGTCAACGCCATGGCCCTCCAACCGACCAACCTACTTGTCGCAATGGCCTCCAAGAGTCATAATCCCCGGTAAACATGGGTCAATTTGCACTCTCTCTGGGATAGCAAAGCACCAGCAAAAAACACAGTTGTTCTGACATCCCTGTGCGTCTGTACAAAACCAAGGCCTTCCTAAGCCTTAGCCCCCAAAAAAGCTTTACATCTAGGTTTCCTACTCACTCGGCTTACTCGATTGCACACGGTCTGACCCACCACACCAACTCGATGTTTCGTCCACTGTCCACCAGCCAACGACCACTCAGAGTCCCCTTCCACCCCAAAAGGACGTACCCCCAAAAGTAACCAATTATGGCATCCAACCAATTGGGATGACAAGTGCCGGCTGCGTCCATGTGAACAACCCAATCGATTCACGCTGAGTTCATTGGACCCGGCTGTGCGAACTCCCAACAGCCAAGTCATGTGTGTCGGTGAACTACCCATTCACTGGGATTCTCGAGCTCCAGTATATCATTCTGGAGGATTTTACTACTGCACCAAAGTATCCCCATGTAAACACCCAGGTGTCACATCGCTGGGTCCAGTCATGTCCAGTCCTTCACTTTCAGATCCTTCACATGGTCGCCTTCTTTTTCATCTGTTTTCATCTGTCCTTTTTTCACTAGTAACAAGAAGCTAGTAGTAACAAGTGCATCGCTTCTAGTAACAAGTGCCTTAATAGTAACAAGAAGCTACTAGGAACAAGTGCATCGCTTCTAGTAACAAGTGCCTTACTAGTAGTAACAAGAAGCTATTAGAATCAATAAGCTTCTAGTAACAGGTGCATCGCTAGTAGTGCCTTACTAGAATAATTCTAATAGCTTCTTGTTCCTACTAGTAAGGCACTTGTTACTACTAGCGATGCACCTGTTACTAGTAGCAAAGGGCATCGCTTCCTTTTTTCACCACTCCGAGATCCGCTCATTCTCAAAGAACTCTCCGCTGCGTCCGCTCCGCTCCGCTGCGAGCACGGTGCGGGCGCCCACGGCAGGGTCTTGGCCACCGCGATTCGAGGACCTCGGTCGACGCGATTCGAGGGCTCTGTTTGGGTGGCGTCCGATCGCTCCGTGCGTAGCGATGCCAGGAGCCCCGTTCGTAGCTTCTTGCTACTATATAGTAGGAATGCCCTTTGCTACGTTCAGTTACTACTAGCGTCCTTGTTACTACTAGCGTCCTTATTACTACTAGTAAGGCACTTGTTACTAGAAGCGATGCACTTGTTACTAGTAGCTTCTTGTTCCGTTCTTAGTAAGGCCAGGAGCCCCGTTCGTAGCGTCCGATCGCTCCGTTCGTAGCACCGATGACCGGAGCGATGTGTTTTCGATCGCCCAGGAACGGAAGCACCGATGACGGCGTTTCGGGCACGGTCTGCCGATTCGATAGAAAGAACTTGGTCGATGCACGCAAACTTGAAACCTGTGGCACTCTGACTCTGGGTGAGAGAGTCGAATGCGTTTGGTGAGTGACTGGTGAAAGCTTTGGAGTCTCAAACCTCACCAGAGTCATCAGTCGTAAAATCGTACTTCTGCTTCAGGCGACGAGGAAGTTCAGGCAGCGGATGGCACAGGTGTGGTGGGGATGGAATGCATTGACAAGGGCATCGCTACTAGTAACAAGGACATCGAAAAATGTTTCTATACTCCACTTCGTCAACGCTTCGGAGAAACGTCCTCGCAAAGCCAAATCCCTGGAGTCTTCACAACAACTCATGAAGCCGCAAGCATTTTACCATGAACATGCAAGTGTCATGAAACTAGGTCCGCCCCGAATTGCCTCCAAGACATGCCATGTCAAACTAGCTTGGCTCTTGATTGCAACCTATCAGAGCGGTTCAGCCGGTTTGAGCTTCGCCTGCCGAACCGTAATCGATCACCTTCTTCCAAGCCACATGTCGGTACAGCAGTAACCGGGGCAGCAAGCGTTCACCTGTAGCTGCGGCTCTTCGCGCGCCAGCAGGCGGGTGTATGCAATAAGCGCCAACTTGGACCTCGAGGCTGGTCTCAGGCACTGAGATCGAAGAACATTCATTTCTTGTTCCTAATAGCTTCTTGTTACTACTAGTAAGGCCCTTGCTCCTAGTAGCAATGCACTTGTTCCTAGTAGCTTGTTGTTTAATCGTTTCGAATCAGACATGATCGAACAGCTCTTCTAGCTCCTCTCTTCTGGAGCTTCCTCTCAGGTGCCCACAATCCATAGTTCGAGTCGCTCCAACCTTGTCAGCGCATAGTCGCTCGCAAACGGTTCCGTGTCGGTGGAAGGGTCATGTGTGGTTCACGTCACTCAACTCACACGTCAGGTTCGGCAAAACCCGAACTCATCTCGTCGCGAAGCGCGGAACGCGCACATCTTGGGTCCAGCCACCCATCTCGCGATGTCGGCCCGACTGCACCGCTGACACGAAGGAGAAAACTAGGCGCAACAGCCTTGGCGGGTCCAGGGAAGTACGCCCACTGTCCAAAACTGAACAAAATGTCCCAATGACTGTGGGTTAAACTCTTGGCCTCTTGGCGGCAGATGTCAGCATCAGTGCATCGAGTGGAGAGAATCGAGACTAGGTAAAGCAACTGGGACTGATTCGGCTTCAAACTGCAGAAGCCAGTGTTGCCAAGACCGGCCGTCGCCACAACTGGGATAGGTCTTGGTAGGTCATACCGACGTGACGGTCAAGCTAGCTGCTAGCTTGACCAGGGCTCCAGGTTCTCAACCCATTCCCAAATGAACTGTTGCATTGGTCCAGGGTGCTTGAGGGGAGGACAAAGCAATTTGAACACATGGTCTTCTGCCCCAAAGCGGTCAACTCAGTGCCCCGGCCGTGGCCGATCCAGTGTCTCAGATGCAAATTCGGATTGGAGTGCAGGACCTCAGAGGTGCCGATGTCCTAACTTCAAGAGAGGCAAGCGGGCCACTCTGATGCAGAAGGTGTGTGCAAATTCTGACCGAAATGCTGCGACATGTTTCAAACGGGCACGCGAAAACGAGCGAAGACAACAAACGTGGCTTGGTTTGGACGACAAGCATGCCTCACAACACAGCACAGTGTGTATGGCGCTGCGTGCAAACTCCTTCCCACCTTGGACTTCACACGGTTTGGCAAATTACAACTAAAACGTGACTCTCAATTTCTTCTTTTGTGGGTACCTCTCAATTTGCCAAGTGTTGAATCGCCCCTATGCAGGTGTCTGGTCTGGTCACCCAGCCAAGACGGTGACCCACCGGTGCCAGGCGGCTCAGCTGTCGCAGCCGTCCGGCCATGGAAGCGACGTTCACCACCCGCGGAGGAGAAGAGCTCTGCGCCGCGGTGGCGCGGAGCAAGGGCAAGAGACGGTCCTGGCGAAGGGCGCGAGAAAACAGGAAGGAGAGGGGGAGAGAGAGAGAGAGAGAGCGATGGCCTCGTAACTAAGAGCAATGGCCTCCAACCTAGTAGAGAGAGTAGAAGTATGATGTTTTCTCCGAGGTTTTGTTGAGAAAAGAAATGGTGTTGCCAATGTTGGTTCTTATCCAACAAGGGGAAAATCGTCGTCGCGCAGGAGAGAACATGAACACGAAGCACAAAACAGAGAGACAGTAGGTCACCGAAGGCACCCTGTCATGCGTGGAGGAACCTCCCACGGGCCGGTCCGTAAGGCGCATCGTGCCAAATAGATTGATTTTCAACCTCAGTTGGATCCGCAGGGTCCCCAAACCTGACACATCCTTTCCATTATCGCCATATTTGTGGGTGCTGGCGACCGGTAACAAGAAGACAAACAAAGGAGATGAAGCTGCAGCGGGCTCTTGGCTTATCGCGAATGATGCTTGGCACTTGAAATTTATAGAAACAAGGAGCTTCATTGGATGGTTATGTCGTTCTCCAACCTTTTCTATTTTCATACCAGCGATGTTGAACAGTCTGCGAACGAACACAAGCAGCTTCACCACCAACTGCGAACGTGTCCCACAATTCTGCACAAGCTCTACTACTTTGCACAGGACTCCACCATTGGACCCATTCTTTGTGACAAATAATATTTCCAGGTCAGGTATGGTCAGGCGAGCTTGATGTTTTACGATGTGATTGAATTCGAAGCCTACTGCCAGCAAGTGTGGGGTTCATGATGCTTCTACCTCCATGTTCTCCACAAGCCAAACACTCACTCTGGGATGCCTAGTGAAGCTGTGCATCAAGTCTTGGCCATTCCAAGTCCATTCATAGGTCGGACGAGGAAGTCTGTACCATCTCTACCCCACGTCGTTGCCTTTTCCTCTCCCATCTCTGTCGCACACGTTGGCAACGCTTGCTCTTTGAAAGGCGTCGGATCTGCTGCCTGGATCCAGGTGTGACAGGACGGAGATGTGCATGGATTTGCATCGACTAGTCAAGCTTGCGTGGGTGTCGACTCTTACTTCAGTCTGTTCTTTCTTATTGGACCTTTATTTAGACCTCAATTAACAGCTATTTCTCAGAAATTCGATCGAATTCGCACCATGACATTTGAGGAACAGCTGGTCCATTTAGGGTGCACTGCTTCTTACTATCCAGTTCTGTTGGTTGTAAGCACAACCAAATCTAGAACGACGTCAGCAAGTCAGCTAGTCATCCACAAATGGGAGATGTTGTTAGTTGGTGGGATCTGTTTACGCTGTCGTGATCAGGAATCCCGTTTACTGCAACTTATATATATATATATATTTGTGTCTCTCCAGTGCACAAATCACCTCAAACCGTGCCTGTTCAGTAGGATTATGTTTCATCTTTTTAAAGTCAAGTGCTTGCTTGTTCTGGTTCAATGCCTTTTGTAGGATTCTTCGGTCGCACAGGTTCGGAGTGCGAGGTCCACCAATCTTTGGAACAACCGGCAAACAATTTGATGTGGAATCACTAAAACTGCAATAGCCTCCCCACTTAGATCCCCCTTTCAAGCTGCCAGCCTTGAAGGCAATGGCTGCGTTGTTGACCTTAGCCAATGATGAACAACAGCTCCCCTAAAATGGATGTGAACAAGAAGGCTACTAGAAACTCGGGCATCGCTACTAGGAGGAAGGACGCTATTAGTGGCTCCTGGCATCGCTACTAGTAGCATTCTTACTACTGGGAACAAGAACGCTACCAGGGGCTCCTGGCCTTACTAGTCGATGCAATGACGACCAAAAAGTCAGTGGCGACAACCTCGAGCTTCCCGTCGATGGTGTTGGTCCCCCAACTTGAGAAAACACACATGCGTTTGAACAACAATTGTCTTGGGAGAGGAAAAGTTATCCCAATGATGTTCTGGCAAGACATGGGCAAAAGTCCACCATCTTTAGAGGTCACGAGTCGACAGTTGATACATGAAACGAAAAATGAAAACAGCTCGACAGCTCATCGAACAGCTCAACCAACAAAGCCCCAAACGACCAAGTCACCAGCACATCCAAACGTTTGTATTTCTTCTCCATCTGCTTTGCAAAGGCTTCGATGGACGCTTCAGATCCCAAATCCTCGGTGACTGGGTTTCGGTCCGTCCTACTGAGCTGGCCACCAGGGTCTCAGGAAGCTGGGAAGCCACAGTGGTCAACGGAGGCAAACGGGAAAGGTCGAAGTGGTCAACGGAGGCATACGGAGGCCTGTAGTGACTGTAGTGGCCACTACACTGTGGCCTGTCGTGGTCTGTCTGCCAACGGACCATGGCGTGTACAGTGAAGGAAGGACGTGTTTTTGTGTGTTCCGAATGGAATTTCGACCAAGGGGACACTTCAAATCCAGTGCGATATTGTTTTTGCAGTATCTCTACTGGGGCTGTTTGAAGGCCTACAGCCGACCAGGTTCGTCAATACAGCAGTCTATTTACATTAGGGTTTAGGCTGGCAGAAAGCATTCTTGAAAACACTTCAAGCGATGAACAGGGACCAAACCCCACACAATTAGGTATCCCAAGCTAGGTGTGAAATGATTTCATGGAAATGATCACTCACCTATGAGTCTATGAGTGCCACAAACTGATGTTTGAATACCCAACTCATAGCTGGATCTCACGCCGATCTAGAATAGTGTTTTGGCCCACTGGTTGTTCATTTCTCACAATTCTCACAAGTCCCCTGCCTGAGATATGAAGTCTTGGGGAGGCCCGCTACTTGCTTAGTCGTTGGATGTACAACGTACAGCACCACAGCTGCGAAGCTCGAAGAACATCATTCCAATTCAAAACAGTAGTGTGCTCCCTTGCCATCCGAGAACTACTGCCCACCTTGGTTTTATGGTCGCGACGCTGAACAAATGTCCTGATGTTAGCACCCCGAGGAGGGTGAGGCCAGGAGCGCCCCCAGTAGCGTCCTAGTAAGGCCAGGAGCCCCTAGTAGCGGCCTTGCTCCTAGTAGTAAGGCCAGGTGCGCCTAGTAGCACCCACCCATCGCACTCACCAAGTCTCCAAGATTTCGTACTCGCAGCCGAGCCTGGCCGCAGCTTCTTCGGCCAGCGTCCGATTTCGGCAGCCAAGCACCACCCGCAGCCCCGCCTCCTCGCATGGCACGGACGCGGAAAGGTAAAGCACGCAGCACACGTTGTCGGCACGACGTCAACAGAGTCACTGGCCTGCTGGATGCAGCCCATGAGCAATGAAGCTGGTTTCACTGGGAAACTGACACCTTAGAAAGCGATATATACTAGTAGCTAGAAGTGTCGTAGCGATGCCAGTAGCTACTAGTAGCATTCTAGCAACTAGTTTAAATGCCCTTGTTGCTCGTAGCTTCTTGTTCCTAGTGATCTGTTGAACTTCCATGTCATGGCAAACCCTCGATGCACATTGATGCCCACATCATTCCCCCACACACCTATGCTAGTCAGCTACTCTTGAACACTTTGAAACAAAAAGCAACGTGCTTTCAACCACACCGTGTATTGTTAATCAAGAAGGACAAGAAAACATATTAGAAACAATAATAACAAGAAGCTACTAGGAACAAGTGCATCGCTTCTAGTAACAAGAAGATAGTAGAAACAAGAATTAAATAGAAACAATGAGCTAATAGCTTCTTGTTACTACTAGTAAGGCACTTGTTACTAGTAGCGATGCACTTGTTACTAGTAGCGTGGCACTTGTTACTACTAGCTTCTTGTTACTACTAGTAAGGCACTTGTTCCTAGAAGCGATGCACTTGTTACTACTAGCTTCTTGTTACTACTAGTAAGGCACTTGTTCCTAGTAGAAACGATCAGCTACAACGTTCTAAAACGGGTCCGGAAGGCCCACTTGCTCCGGTGTTTCCGCCATTGCGGCGAAAGGCCCCTCACGGATCCTTTACATAGCCCCTCCAAAGGGAAACACTAGCGATGGCCTCCAACCTACTATTACTAATTCTTGTTTCTTTAATAGCTTCTTATTACTAGAGAATTAGTAAGGCACTTGTTACTGGAAGCGATGCACTTGTTCCTAGCTTCTTGTTTCTATAGCTATGGCCCCAACCTATCACGGCAAACTTCGGTGCCTGCAGCTGCTGAGCCACATGAAAGCCCACACCCTTGTTGCCACCCGTCACCACCTGAGGCGATGCTTCACGGTGATCGGCACCCCCGTAAAACACCGCGCTTTGGGCGGTGGCAACGCGACTTCATGTCCGACCGACCTTCTGGAAAAAACTCATGGAAAACAGCGGCCGTGTGCTGGAAACCAGTGCTGCATCTCTGTTCATTCTCTCTTGACCAAGGAGCTCCTGGCGTCGCAACTAGCAAGGACGCGCTACTAGGGGTTCCTGGCCCTACTACTAGGAACAAGGACGCTATGAACGGAGCTGTCTTCAGATGACGTATCACCTGGACGAGTAAATAGGCCCCTCGTGAATGATTTACTCAGTCATCACCGAGCGAGACACCAAACAAGATCCGGACAATCTTGAACCTCGGATTACTCTATAATAAGTGGTGCACGAATGCACACAATGTTGTCCATCAAGAGTATGATCCCCAACAAGAAAAGGGATACCCAGCATCATTGCGGCGAGAACATGCAAGTAAGAAGCGTCTTCCGTGCCAAGCGTCTTCCTGCCACTTCATGCAACTCGCTTTCTATTCCTATGGCCTCCGTAGCGATGGCCTGCACATAGAAAACCATCCCAGTCAAGAAACAAGTAAGGCAACCTAAGTGCTCTTATTTTGCATGCATATCGGCCACTGCAGCCCTGCAGCAGAAGCCCCACCCAAAATACCATCGATGCCAGAACTGTCTGAGTGCTCGGATCACTTAGCATCCATGTGCACACATCGCTTGTACCAGCACCCAAATCATCGAAATCACTTGGATCCCCAACGGCCAGCGCCGCTGGGCCAGCGGGTTCCTTCGGCACGGCCAGCGCTGGACGTGCCATGAAGATCCCGACAGCCAGGACGGACGCGCTCAGCGCTCCGCGGACGGCGCAGCGTGCGCCAGGGGAGGACGCGCGGTGGAGTGAGCGCCCAAAGGCGCGAGTGGAGACCGGCAAGACCGGTCGTGATGAAATCATGTTTTGGGTGTGAGTGAATGAGGCAGTTACCAAGGACTGCTGCTTTATATACGTGTTTTGTTCCCTTTAATAGACCTAGAACATGCAAAACCATCTTGAATCCCCCGTGATTTTCTTAGTGGGTGAGCTATGGGTCAGAGGTCCCAAGTTGATTTGGGTTTGAGGAGTAGGCCATGGCGACCATGACCTCTATGTGATCACTCACCATGCTCGCCTACTTGCTAGGCCGAGAGGTTTGGCCAACCAGCCAACAATTCGTGCACCTCTTGAGCAACTGGTTCTGCAAACTCTTGAGGTTTGGTCGACTGCATTCTGTCTGACCAAACGAATGAGAAACAACACGTCTTCGTAAACCACCAACTGCAAGATGCGACCTTCATGTTTGCTTCCAGCATGCAAAGCTCTAAGCTGAGGTTAGGAACAACAAGATTTTCGGGCAACCAAGCATCTTGGGTGGCAAGAAGCTACAGTATGTATGTTGAAGGGCACCCAATTGAGGTCCAATAGAGGTGAAACTCCTTCTTCTGGGGCACAATGACTGCTTCTTGGCGCTTTTCCACCGCCCGCCATCTGCGATCCACAGCGCCGAGATAAATACGCGAGTAGACCAACACTTGTGGAAACCGAGCTGAACGGAATTCCCATATGTTCCCATGAACTCTCTGCATGTTTGGGCGCTAACATCCCCCTGAAATGGTCCAAGTGAACACAAACGATGAAAAAACACAACTTGTGCAAGTCAACCACTGTTTGTGTATGCTTTCTGGTGTCTCACTTCAAACAGTGACTCTGATGAGCGATGGCCACTCCTTTTTGGCCTACGTTTTTTTTTACTGAGACATCAGGGCAAACATTTCATCGGTGTTCAAAATAACGATTGCTGGCGGGTAGCAACACCGCTTGTTCACACACCCTTTGCATGGCAAAAGGCATACATGCAAATACAACCATTGCTCCTGAACAAGATTTGTGGTTACAAGTCCTTGAAATGAGCTGTCTGATGTTCTATACTGACCAACAGCGGGAAAGATTGTCTCGCTTCAACGCTTACGCTTCTTGCTACACTTGCGTGCCTTATGGTTAAACAATCGCAAAGCTATAGTTTCGGAAAGAGATCCCAATCACTCAATGTCCTTTTCCGTCTACTTCAACGCCCCGCTGGCATAAACGATACTTGCATGGATGTCGTTGCAGTGGTTGCAAGCATGGCTCTTCGGTAAAGGGAGCGAAATGACGCAAAACCTTGGGTGGCCGACGGTATTGAGTGCGAAGCGCTTGGAATCGTTGTTCACAAACGCTGCGCACAAAGCGCGAACCTGTTGGAAGATGTTGGAACTGTTCAAGACCCGTCGTGCGTCACATCGCGAAACACCTTTCTGCAACATCTTTGAGACTGCAGCGATGCTTTCTCCGACGACTTCAAACAGTTTCTGGAAGGTCTTATTTTGGGCATCTGCCGTGGGCACGCTTGCAGCATTAACCTCTTAGCTCTTCTTTCCATCATCTTCATTGCGGCAATCTCAGAAGAAAGAGTTCAATCTTTGTGCAAAGGCGGTTTTTTGAATATGATTTGCTTCCGGAAGCCAAGCACTATAGCAAAAAAGGCTCTGACGACGAGTCAACAAAGCTTCTGCAGGAACATTCTATTTCTTAAATGTGCTGCGCACATTTAATGTTGAATTGGCAGCCACCACAGTGGAGATACTGTAGCATTGGGATTTGACGTGCGACAACATGTCAGAAGAAAGAGCGAAATCCATTTCA